AGCAGCAGCAGCAGACCCTTTGGCGGGAGCAGCAGCAGCAACACTGCCTCTGGCCATCCTGGCAGTGCTGCTCTCGCTCTAAGGCAGCAGCTGCTCCTCCTGTCCATCCGTGCTGCAGCAGCAAACTCAGCAGCAGCAACAGCAGAAGCAGCAGCAGGGCAGCAGCGGCACCTGCCGCTCGACGTCAGTGTAGAGCTGCTTGGCCGTCTCGATGGTTTGTGTCAGCAGGCATTGCTGCTGCTGCATGCAGCAGCAGCAGCAACAGCAACAACCGCAGCAGCAAATGCTGCTGCGGCTGCAGCAGAAGCAGCTTCTGCTAGTCCAAAAGCAGCAGCAGCAGCAGCAAACTATTCTGCTGCAGATGTTGTGTGGCTTGAGAGTGTAGTGCCACTGGTGCAGCAGCTAGCTGCTGCAGCTTTGCCTCCAAGGCAGAAGCAGCAGCTGCAGCTGCTGCAGCTCTTGCGGCAGCTGCTGCAGCAGCCTGACTTGCTGCTGCACTTGAGTCCTGCTGCTGCAGCGGCGCTTGCTGCTGCTGTCGGTCATCTAGGCCTGCTGCAGGGTGCAGCAGCAAAAGCTGTTGCTGCTGCGCTGCTGCAGCAAGTGGACAAACTGCCACCACTGCTTCTGCTGGAGGTGGCTGCAGCAATTGGACCTGCCCTGCAGCAGCAGCAGCAGCAGCAGCAGCAGCACGTGCTGCAGAAGCTGCAGCGCAAGCTGAAGCAGCAGCTGCAGCGAAACAAAGCAGCTTGCGAGAGCAGCAGCATCAGCATAATAAGGTGTCTGTACACCCGAGCCGCTGTTGGGGGCCTCACATCTTCCGAAGGAGAGCAGCTGCAGCAGCAGCTGCTGCAGCAGCTGCAGCAGCAGCCGCTGCTAGACAATGAAGAGCTGGTGCAAGCAGCAGCAGCAGCAGCAGCAGCGCGCTGCCGAAGCGAGATGCTGCTAGTGCAGCTCTGCCGGCATTTGCTGCTGCGGCTGGGGGGGCCCGACTTGCTGCAGCAAGACCAGCAGCAACAACAGCAGCAGCAACAGCAACAGCAGCAACAGCAGCAGCAGCAAGGCGTCATGCCGGCGCAGCTGCAACAGCTGCAACAGCAAGACCTGGCGCAGTTTTTGCTGCAGCTGCTGCTGCTGCAGCGTTTTGGGCCCCCGGGAATGGAGGGGAGGCCTTTGGCGTTCTGCATCCACGTGGTGCGCTTGCTGCTGTTGCTGTTGCTGCTGCAGTTGCTGCTGCTGCTGCTGCTGCTGCCGTTTTTGTTGCTGTTCTTCCTTTTGTTGCTGCTGCTGCTGCGAAAGCACCTGACGTGTTGCTGCTGTTCCTGCTAGTTCCAACATTATTGTTTTTGCTGCTGTTGCTGCTGCTGTCGTTGCTTGCGTGTTTGCTGCTGTTGCAATGCATTTCCAAAGTATGGTCTCCGCGCTGCTTCTGCTGCATCTGCTAGTGCTGCTGCTGCTGCTGCTGCTGCAGGCTCTGCTGCCTCACTTGCATGAGCTGCCTGCTGCTTCGCTGCAGCTGCTGCTGAGCGCGCTGGAGCTGCTGTCACTCCAGGCGCCCCGTCGAGTGCAACAGCAGCAGCAGCAGCAGCAGCAAAGCTTCCGTGCTTTGCTGCTGTTGGCGGTGCATGCAGCCGAGGTAGCAGCAGAACAGCAGACGCAGCGGCTGGGGGCGACCCAGGT